GGCCTCGCTGCTGGCTCGGCAGTCTCGGATCCCGTCGTCCGAGGAGCCCGACATCGGCGTGCCCCAGTCCCGCCTCGGCATGACCAAGAGGGCGCCCGCAGCGGCCTCGTCGTCTTCGAGCGCGCCGTCCAGCTCGTCGGTTCCGGACCAGGGCCCGCCGTTCCTGTCGGCCGACCTGCGCCCCAAGGCGCTCCGGGAGAAGCGCGAGGGGCGGGGCCAGAACTGGATCGGGGCCGAGGGCGCGCCGCGTCCGGAGCTCGTCGACGTGCTGCGGTCGCAGTGCGAAGGCAGCCTGAGCCGCGGGCTGATCGACTCCCTCTTCAGCAAAGGCAACAGCGCCGAAAAGGAGTACATGTCGGCGCTGACGCTGATCGCCAACTTTGTGTCGAGCCCGAGCTTTGCCGAGGAAGAGTACGGCCTGTCGCCCGACGACACCAACGGGCGGATCGTGGCCAACTCGGACCTGGTCTTCAAGTACGTGGCGATCCGGCTGACGGACAACAACACGACCATGTCGCTCAAGTGCCTCGACATCCTCGAGCAGCTCGTCGACCTGCTGAGCGGCCAGCAGTTCCACATGAGCGACTACGAGGCCAACAGCCTGCTGCCCTGCCTGCTCGCCAAGTTCGGCGACCCAAAGGTCACGTTCCGCGACCGCATCCGCGAGATTTTCCGCAAGCTGACGTTCATCTTCCCGCCCAGCAAGCTCTTCACCCACTACATGGAAAACGGGCTGCCGTCCAAGAACGCCCGGGTGCGTACCGAGTGCCTGGGCGAGCTGGGCCACCTGATCGCCAAAAACGGGCTGCAGGTCTGCTCTCCGGCCAAGACATTCCCCGTCATCGCCAAGCAGATCAGCGACCGGGACGCCAACGTGCGCACGGCGGCGCTCATGGCGCTCGGCGAGGCGTACAAGCTGGTCGGCGACGACGTCTGGAAGATGATTGGCTCGCTTCCGGGCAAGGAGATGTCGCTGCTCGAGGAGCGCCTGAAGCGGACGGCGGCGCCGGCGGCCAAGCCCAGCGCCATCGCGCGGGCGCCCGCCAGCAAGATGGGCAGGGCGACGCCGGGTTGCAGACGAGGCCGGGCCCTCGATCTCGTCGCCAGCGCGCGCCTCGTCGGTCCGCGCCGGGCCAGGCATGGGGCTGGCACGGCCCGGCTCTATGGTCGCCTCGGCCCTGCCAGCACCGGGGGCGGCGGGCCGCTCTCGCCTCCCTGCTCCTGGCGGTGGCGGTCCTGGCAGGAGGGAATCTGCGTTCGGTATCCCTCGCCCGGCCGCCGCACGCAC